TAAAATTCCGTCCCAAGCTGATGTGGGCTTAATACGCGGCTGGGCTTATTAAGCGTGGGCTTAATAGCCGGCGACTACTGTATCCAGACTACTACCGACTTAGACCATAAGACCTACCACAATTTATGCCATGGACATCTCATTGGAAGACTCAGAAAAAGTACAACAGGAAAAAGTAAGCCCTTAGGAGAAGCCCCTTTTTGAACAAATGTAAAAATACAATTTTGAAGAGAATTCACTTTAAAGTTGTACTACCTTAGTCCAGTCTTCAAGGTCTTCCAAGGCCATTATTTTCATCGTCCGACCAATGAAGAGGAACTCTGCATTCGGTTTACAGGCATGGTCGAATTTAGAAGCCCTGGGGGGGGGATAAGTGATCAAGTAAAGCGTTAAAATCCTACCATCTGAAAAATGCAGTACCAATACTCGTCCCGTGTTCGCCCACCATGGTAAAGGAGTTTATTTTGACCTAGCAAACAGAGTTCGACAGAGGAAGGGAGCAAAACAAACTTTGCAAAAGAGTACTTCAAAGTCACTTCGTGAGATCTGGAGAGTCTTCTGGGAGAAGATTAAGAGGCCGGCGTAAGCGAAGTCTATCTTCGACTTGGTTTCGGGATCCCTGAGATTTTCGTCGAGGTCTAATGGGACGACAACTGATTAAACAGACTTGGCCAGGTGATACTTACGCGATACGAAGGAGTCGAAAATGGAGGCATCCTTGTACTTCTACACACACAATTGCGTGAGGGAGGGGATTGAAGTGAACCTACCTCCGTGGTGATGAGGGCAAGGAGAAGGCGTAGTGTAGCAGACGGCAATTTTCCAGCCTTTGCGATCAACTTACATTCACCGCGATGACCGAATGCCCAGCCGGCCTTTTGACACTGACGGTTGCAGTAGTAGACGCGATTGCACTGGGCGCAGCGTAACAGATGGTCTGACGCGGTTACACAGTAGGCGCAATAGTTGGCAGTCTCGGATTCCGCGACAGCATGTGCCAGGGTGGTGTCCGTGACGATGATATCGCCCCTTTTGAAGCTTACGCCTGACTTCAACATGACCTGAAAGGCAATAGCGGGAGCGGGGCTAATTAGCACCGTGGCATGCAGATGCTCATTAAAATTGGGGAAAATGCTGAGATAAAAGGGAAACTTATCGCTTTTTGGCGGAACGCGATATAATCTACGGTTCAGAAGAGACTACTTCGCAATGGGGGAACATCCGATCCCGAATCTCTATTGCGTACTACTAACTGCCTAGCAGCTGGTAGGGTCCTCCAAGGGCTGTTCAAATACGAGTTGGGTTACAACAAGACCATACTAACAATCCTACATTTTAGATAATTATTCACGGGAGGTTCCATTCGCAAAATGTCTACCGAGGAAGAGTTAAAATGTAATTACAGGATGTCATTTCAATCCGAAACATTGTCCGAGAGCGGAGTTCTGTCAGCTTGATAACCATTTAGAGAATGGGATATTTAGTTAACTTTTGATACGACGGCCGTCCAAATCTTCTAATCGAGCATCCCCAGTCCCTCAGTGTAAGGTGTGTTGCCCTCAAGACTAACCAACTTTTGTTTGAATTCGAAGAGGCGAACTATGTAGGTCTACAACTGCATCTGTTTATGTGGAGCAGGTTGGAGCATCGGTTGGGTTACTCAACATCTTTGCAAGAAAACGATAGAAATACGCTTTCGGAATTTATTAGTTCCGTCCCTAACCTGTGGCCGACATAGGATGTCAATAAGTCCTCTTAAAAAACTGTTATTTATATTATGGCATAAATGGCAACGGTGAACACGTTGACAAAAACATCGATAGGGCGTATATCGGGGTTCCTCAACAATAGCAGTAAAAGAAAAGTTTTCTTAATAAAGCGAAGAATTCTTCAGAAGTACATACATTCTCTAGTGGAAATAGTTTTCATCTAGAAGAAAGGTTGGCCTGACTGCCTCAGGTTGTTCTACTGTTAGGGGCTACAGTGGAACCTGCGTTAACGAGTTGAATCTGTTCCGGCATCAAGCTCGTCATGTGAAACGAAGTCAATCAAACACTGACTGGCTTCACGCGACCGAGGTCTCACGCCCTGGGAGCAAGACTCAACGGCGGACTGCTGATAGGTCATAAAACGGCCAGCAATGAGTAATGGCTGAAGACGGCTAATAAGCCAGAAATGGCCACTCCAGTCTCCCTTGTCCTGGCCGGCAATACTAGCTGCCTATTACCAGCTGTAACGGCTGTCAGGACCCTGTTGAGGCCCAAGGTAGAGCAGGATAGACTATTTCCGTTGGCGGTCAGGTGAAAGATCACCAATGAGTAGTGAGTCCTAGACATCACGCGACCTGCGTGTGCCAAGCAAATATTCAAGGTCACGGCCATTGACCCATCGTGCCTACTGACTGGTCCATCGACTGGAAGGTCTGAAAGCTCTACATGAAAACGATTCTATGGAGGCTCGCTGGCTTAGACTGCGGAGAGTTGTCCATTCGATCGCCTGGACGGACGTGCGCGTCGTCAACACCATGACTGGTTTGACAAAAACGATGCAGTCATCAGCAACCTGTTCACGGAGAAGAACCAGCTACATACAGCCTACCCTGGCCGCCCGACCGATGTCACCGTCTCGTGCCGTAACGGTTGCAAAAAACTAAGGATGCCAGGATAACTCGCAAGACCAAGGTCGTTTACCGTATCCAGCCAAAGGTATCGCTCCACACCTCAGCACCCACAGAATAACCCTCATAAGAAGTCGCAACTTTTTAAGCGCTGGGCCAAACACTTCAGAAGTGTCCTCAATCGTCCATCAACAATCTCCGACACCGCTTTTGAACGGCTGCCCCAGGTGGAAATTAACATCGACGTGGATCTCCTTTCCAGAAACTACCCACGCCATGCAACAACTATCTATCTGGAAAGCACCAGGCTCAGATGCGTTACCAGCTGAAATCGACAAGCACGGCGACCAGCAAATGATGGAACAACTCGCAACACCTTTACAAGACATGAGTCGCCAAGGGCAGGTACCTCAGGAAATCAAGGATGCCATCATCATCCACTTATACGAACGGAAAGGGGCCCGACAACCACACAGGCCTATCGCTACTTAACATCGCCAGGAAGATCTTCGCACTTATTCTTCTCAACCATCTGAATGGCAAGCCAGAGCAGGAACTGCTTCCAGAAAGTCAATGTGGCTTCTGACGACACCGACACCAAGGAACAACCGACATTATTTTCGCTACTCGCCAGCTACTAGATAAGTGATAGGATAGGCAGACCCACCTCGACAAGACCCTTGTGGATTTGACGAAAGCCGCCGAAGGATCGTGGGAAACCATGTAGAAAGTCGACTTTCCTGAGCGGTTCGCGCACAAGATATGTCAGCTTCACGACGAGATAATGGCGCGCGTCACGGACAACGGGTTGGTATCCGCGACTTCACAGTTACTAACGAAACGAAGAAGGGCTGTGTATTTACTTCTTCCCCTTCAGTATCATGGTTTCTGTCACGCTGATGGAAATCTACCTTAAGGGGCGCCTTGAGATTTGTATCCCCCATAGAATTGACGTATACCTCTCGAGATTATCGGCTGTCAACTTAAAGAAGTAAACAGTTTCAAATACCTCGGGGCGAGGTTGCTGCAGAATAGTCAGAGTAAAGATGACATTGTTTCCCGAACTGACGCAGCTCGACGAGTTTTCTCCAGCCTCCGAAAGTGCCTATGGACCCGACGCGATATTCCTATCTCACAAAGGTCCGCGCGTACCATGCTGTACAGTACGGTCTGTTTTCCTATACGAATCCGAATGCTGGGCTATGCACGTAGAAGGTGTATGGAGACTGGAAGTATTTGGCCATTACTGTTTGAGGACCACCCTTGGAGTGAAGTACGCCAGCTTCGTCTCAAATGAGAGAGTTCGCACTCACTGCGACAACATCGCAAGGATATCCTAGGCAATCCGAGGAAGACGACTGAGGGGGTTTGAACACGTTCTCCGCCGCCAACCTTACGAGCTCAGCGTTACTGCCCTCGACCCGAAACCGTTAGCTAATTAGAAAGGTCTAGGTGAGGGTCAACTCAAAACCTGGCTTGACTCAGTCCATCAAATGACAAATAATCCAGCTCTCACGTATCGCCACCCATACTCTCCAAACAGACCAGTCGTCAGTCTCGCCGCTGCTGATTAACTTATCCGAGCAAAGTGCAGCACAGGCTCTGAACTGCTCGGACGTCGGACAGGCGACTAGAAATCGGTCAGTCGGTATGTGGACCTCCTGTCCGTGTGCACAGCCTGTGCGGCCGGCTCTAAACTTACGAAAAATTCCGTCGGTGTGATATAATAACTGTATATGGGATTCTGGATGTTTTTTTTAAAAAATTTATTTCTGATGATGAACTCTTAGACAGGCCCGAGATACTATGTAAACAAATCTGCGATTATAACTGCCAAGCAGCCTTCCTCCTTATCCAAGGAAATCCTCGTCAACCGACCCACCACCTTCTATGTGAATACAGTTGACTGTGCGGATATTCATCGCATTAACTTATGTCATTCGGGCAGGGAAAGGCTCAACTCCATTGGCCTACCCACTGCAATTGTTGGAGCTCTTAATAGCAATTCTGCATAATCTAAAATGATCTACTTGAGCGATCAAAAGGACCCACTGTCAGCCAGTGACTATCTGAAGACGGGTTTTGCCGCTCCCACAAGTAAAGCGTGGTCAGACTACCTGTGCTCGACCCCGCCTCCGGTCTTCTTGACCCCGCCCAATTGCCCTCCTTAGTCCATTGACGAAGATCCTGGAATGGCTCATCCACCCAATTCTGACGTCCGCGGCGGAACTGTCTTGCCACCAACATGGTTTCCGATCAGGTCGCGGGACCACAAGAGCGCTTTTCGAGCTCAGCGACGCCATCCTTCAGGGCTTCAATCAACAGAAGCCCGCTTCGCGAACCGTGGCAGTATCACTTGACCTGTCACGAGCCTTCGACTGCGTCCACCACGATCAGCTCTAGCAGGACTTGGTCTCCCTGAACGTACCGACTGGCCTGGTCCGATGGTTGGCGGCTTACATCC